CGAACTATAAAGAATATACTCTACTATAAAGAATATACTATAGTAATACTATAAAGAATATACTCTAGTAATACTATAAAGAATATAGTCTAGTAATACAGCGCTAATTGCTATGACTGTAAAATAAAAACCAGAGGCCACAACAAAGATGTCCGGTATAAAACATTAATAAGACTCCAAGCAAGATAATGTTACACAGTCCTCTCTGGCCGCGATGAACCTAATAATGATACCTAAGACATACCTTAAAAACAATTATACCTGAACAAAAACACTAAAGTACTGTGTGTTCATCTATATAGTGTTATATCTGTCGGGATGTTCTTGGGGTAAAAACACAGCTTGTAGAAATAAGTAATCTAAATCGTTTACCCATAAAATTAACCTCGAAATACCACAAAAATGTCCATATTATAGGCCTAAATTAAAAGTGTATGTTCGTTGTAGATTTCTTTTTTAATAGCTCATAGTTACAACAGGACGTCTATATTTTCCTGCAGAAAATAATTCACATATTTTGTAAGATTGTGATGAATTTCGACAATGTGGATTGCACTGGTAAATGGAAATGTAATTATTTGAGACTCTATTATAGACAAGCCCAGGAGGTATTAGTGTAAAACACTGCAGCCAATTTGAATGGTCTTTTTTTCCACGGACCAAACACGATATACATTATTATCCGTTTCCACAGTGAAATGGATATGAAAACGCCATCATCTATAATGTAAAAATGTAGGGGTTTGTGTGTCTTCTAACCCGCCTGCAACTGTTGAGTGTTTTGACAGTGAACATAGAGGCATGGGTGATATGAAACCGAACGAAAACCACAAGCATGTTGTGTGCAGAAAATGTTCTGCAGCTCAAAGAAACCGAAAATTAGGCGTAGTGAGCTTTTGGATAGATTGAACATCTTCGACAACTGCTCTGGTTGTTATCTCGCATAAGGAACTGGGAAACCTCTGGCCCTTTGCACTCATTTGATTATTAACGCTGGCTTTAAAGGCCAGGATGGATGAGTAGCTCCACTGAGCCCGAGTCAGTTCCATTTGAATTGTTAGAGTTTTGACCGATCTGCTTTTGGTTCATTATTCTCATTGTTTTAAAAGAATGAATTCTCCATATTTTTGCAAAACTATTGAATAAAGCTTCAGCGAGTTCGACAGAAGATAAGTGGTTCTAACAGCCTGCGTTGTGTCAAGCCGCAAACAGTGGAAGAGCAAAGAGCTTGTTATTTGGTTCAAGTCCCAATAGGCGGCGCTGCAGACTTTCATTCTGGACACCAACCCAAAGACTAACACTGCAACAAGTGAAAACTCCTTCCACTGTCCCGCTCAGCATTTAGGAACTGCATATTCATGACAAGCATTTTCTCAAAGTCATTTTGTCACACATATATATTATAAAATAAAATAAAGTAAAATAAAACAGACCGTGTGAACGTTTCTAAAAGAGAAATATCAGTAGACATGTTTCACCATACAGCACAAATATTTCCTTTCCATTACTATCCAGTGGGCTTTACAGTGACTTACGTTTGGATAGAAAAACTAGGTAAACATCTTAATATAATAAAAGCCTGCTGACATTTCTGTCTGTGTAGCAGTAATAACAAACCACAGTTCAATTCATTTCATAAACCCTGTCAATTCTCATAAAATACATTTTACAAAAACGAAGAAGATATTTTTGCAGATGAAGGATGACTTCAACATATAGGCTTTAGCCCATCAGCATATTACAGGCACTTCCACTGAGATGGGACATATGGGATGATGTCTGTGCTAACAAGCCTGTTTAGCTGGAGCCTAAATACCACAGGGCAACCTGTCCAGGTAGGCTGTGGGACATTCTATTTATGGGTTTGAAAAACATTCATTCTTATTCATTATTAAGCTGTAGGGGGGAGCTTATTGTTAGAAGAATACAGCAAATACAAACGTGTTTTTTTTTTTTTTTTGTTTGTTTGCTCCTGGCCACATCAGTGAACTAATACGTTTTAATGTGGTGGTTTTGCTTGTACCCTCCAGTTTCACAGATGGGGAGTATGGTTTTAAAAAACAAAAGCAACTTGTAATCCGATTAGGTATCCAAAAGCACGTTTTCAAAATCGTGGAGTTGGAGGGAAAAGAAACGAGCGGGGTTTCCTTCTGCGGTTCCAAACACGTCTCCAAAAGAGGGCATCAGCCTTGGATATATGGTACATGAAATGTGTCAGAGGAGGCAGGTTGAGCTGAGCACGCTTCTCTGCTATAGTCCGGAGCCTTAGTTGCTATCCAAACACAAATAAACAGAGGAGGAACACGGAGTTAATGATAGAGGACGGGGGGTGGAGGCGTGTCGAAGGGCGGGCTGAGCACGCCGGAGCCCCGGAGCCCTGAAAAGTGAAGGACCGGTGCGCTTTGCGCACACTTCCCTCCCTAGCTCCGGACCAGGCTCCCACGCTGCTGCCGCCTCTCTTCCAAACTTTTTCGTCCCTTTCCACAACTTGTCCCATCTCTGCACACGTCCGAGGCATCAGAGTTGGCTGCATGGCTGCATGAAAGTTTCATGGACTTGGAACTTGGGAAACTTTTAGCGGCGCTTTTTTGGAGCTAGTCGCTTCTATAGTTACTGTGGATTACTGACATACTGCAGGACCTTTCGCAGCTATTTACTGGGGTAAGATTGTGCTTGACAGGGTTTGCCAGTCTTCTGTAGGAAAGGAACCAGTCTCACTCAGCTCAATTGTTAGAACTTTCTGCCCGAAGAAAAGACAACGTTTACTGTTTGAACTAGAAACCAACGCGATCAGATTGCTAGTTAAAAATGTCAACTGTTCACGGAGAAAAATCTAAAATCTATCCAAAGGTGATTATTGCTTCGTGATGGTCACCAGCTTGAAGTCATAGCTCACTCACGTTTGAACATCACTGGTCTCTGTCCTCACATAACTGTTAAACACGCAGTGGCCTTCGCAGCTGCAGACGCAATTTACAGAAATATAAAAACTGTTCCTAAAAAGAAAACTGACAGGGACTCAAATAGTGTAACAATGCACGTAGGCTGCTGTCAAAGTGTAAATGAAGTCCAAAGGTTAGTGAGAGAAGAACAGGTTGAACAAAGTTGTACACATGGGCAAAGAACAAGTGCCTGTGTAGCTGCTGCACCTGCGCAAAATTACGTGTAACCCTACGGCTACCGTTTGTGAAAGGGAAGCAAAGTAGACAGAATATATCTGTGAAATAAATGGGACGACCTGACTGGAATAAACGGGCCTCCCTCTGGCTAAGGAGGATTTTCACTCTGCAAGCCCCAAGTACCATAATCTAAACCACCTTTCAGGTTCGACAGGTTGTGTGAAGAGTTATGTTAAAATGTGATTTGGCTCGATCTGTTAAAAAACGAATTTACATTTATTACATTTATTTATTTAGAAACACAGTAACGTAGCTTGTTCTTGTTTTCCGTCTCAGATCTAAAGGTCAGCTCGCCTCACACCACTGGCTCACTGCCGTTTCCCCCGTGCGTATAGTCTTGAACGTACATGTGGACTTTTTGTGCATGAGAAAACATCATTTGTCATCCCCACATCCAAAGGGAACCAAGCCCCGTCAGCTCACCTCATGTGTCCCACGCTGTGGACATAGGATTCCGAGTTTAATTAAACCTAAGCTTGGTCTGTATGAAAGTAGGTTAGAATTCCTCTAGGTTATTTACTGCCATGTTCTTCCCCAGGGGAAACCCGTCCCATACAAAAACATGGAGCATAAATAAATATAGACCTAAAAGCTCAAATATTAGTGCCTATAAAATGGAGTGGCTTCGCAGCCATAACAATAAAAACATGCATTTCCAGTAAAGATTAAAGAACCTCTTCTTGTGGTTAACAGTCAGCATGTGTGTGTTTTGCTCTGACTCATGTTCGTGCACTTAATAACACAGGCTACTTGATGTGTACTGGCAAAATTTCAACCATCTACAAATTTACATACAGCGCACTTGTTTTCACTGTGAAACACTAAATCCATCAAAACAAAGCAGCCCAGCTCCTCCAATTAGCTTGTGTGAGATTTAGTACTTTATTTAGACTGAACTGAATATCTCATTTACACTGTTAATCGATGTCATATGAGTCGTTTTGCACTCAATTTAATTACATTTTGGAGGACTGATTTGCTTTATAAAATTGGTTTGAAGCTTGTTTCCACTTTCATGGACAAACTTTGCTAAAGCGTAAAATGTGTTTTCTCCAAGTGGGTTATGAAAAACGTTTTATAAATCATTATCAGTATAGAACAGTGTTAATGCACCTTTATAGGTTGTTCAGTGCATGTACCTAATTAGCTCCATAGCTTAGTTTAATTGTTAGAAATTAAAGCAATTACTTTGCCCCCTTTCACACGCTGGAGGAGAATAATCACCTTGTAGGCGGACATCTTTTCTGTGAGATAATCGCTATCGTGTTAAATAAAAAAGCATAAAAACCTCTCGAGTATAAAACCTGCGTATAGGAAAACAGGAGGTTTTTGCTGTATCATAATTACTGGCTGAGGGTCATGCTTTGCCTTCTTCTAACCACATAATTACTGCCTCTACCGTTTATGTGGCATTTACATACAGCACTCATCATTATTTTTTAATTTATTATCACTATTATTTTATTATCCCCAGGGTTCTCATCGCGTCTTCTGCAGAGGTCCAAGTCGAGATGGGGAGCAAAGCCCTACACGCTCCGATCCCCCTGCACCCTGCTCTGCAGCTCACAAACTATTCCTTCCTACAGGCCGTCAACACTTTCCCCGCTGATCAGCTGCAGGGACTGTACGGCCTCAGTGCGGTGCAGACCATGCACATGAACCACTGGACTCTTGGTTACCCGCATATCCAAGGACTGAGGTCGACAATCACAGAGATGGCAGCCGCACAGGGTCTGATGGACCCCAGGATTCCCTTCCCAGCGATACCCTTCACAGCAGCGCAGCTCTTTCATCCAAAACAAGCCGGCGTTGCGCACGGCGTTCCCTCTCTGCACAAAGACAGGCCGAGGTTTGACTTCGCCAACTTGGCCCTCGCTGCCACTCAGGAGGACCCGCCGAAAGCTGCGGATCTGGCGAAGTTGGCATCGGGACTAGGGGGAACCATCTCTGAGCTGAGCAAGCTGTCCCCGGACAGAAAACCTACCCGGGGCAGGCTCCCTTCCAAGACTAAAAAGGAATTTATTTGCAAGTTCTGCGGAAGGCATTTCACCAAGTCCTACAACCTCCTCATTCACGAGAGGACCCACACGGATGAGAGGCCGTATACCTGTGATATTTGCCACAAGGCCTTCAGAAGACAAGATCATCTCAGAGACCACAGGTAAGACAGATTTACGTGCAGATGCTGTATTAATCACGCACTGGGTTGAGGGGAAAGGGTTCATTCCCAGCAGCATTCCCGAGGTTGCATGCTATTAAAGTCACATTTATATTTATTTCTCTAATTAACCTATTCAGAACTAGCGATTAAAAACATCGTATTCATTTGAAACACAGAGAGGGGCCTGTTCCCAGAGTTTTCTCCATGAGGGCGCTAAAATACTTTTACCACTCATAAGTTCCACAGTAGCCTAAAGATTTTTCGCCCTATGGCTCTGGGGTTTTGTAATAGCCTCGAGCAGACCTATGCACAAGCATACGTTTGATTAAATGTGGTTTTTGTCTTTTTTCAGATACATCCACTCCAAGGAAAAACCATTTAAATGTCAAGAATGTGGGAAGGGATTCTGTCAGTCTCGAACTCTAGCTGTCCATAAAACCCTACATATGCAGGTAAGCTGAAAATATCTGTATTCACCTTGATGTTATGATCACTAAATTATGTGACGCGTTATGATTATAATTCACCATGCATGGGGATATGAATAAGTCTCGTATAACAACTGCGCCTGGCCAGTTAACAAATTAAAACAAGAATGCGAGTGAGAAACACATAAATACGTTTAATGAGAATTATTGTGGATTAATTTAGATGGGTGAAAGATGTAACTGATAGATGTTCTACACAATTAAAGGGAATAATCCTTTGCTTGCTTTAAATCTAAACAGGAGTCTCCCCACAAATGCCCCACATGCGGAAGAACCTTTAATCAAAGAAGTAACCTGAAAACTCACCTTCTCACCCATACAGACATCAAGCCCTACAGCTGTGGCCGCTGCGGAAAGGTGTTTCGGCGCAACTGTGACTTGCGACGGCACAGTTTGACGCACAGCCCACATCTGGACTACTAGCCTGGACAGACAATGAGATAACAATGGACAAAACGCAGGAAGACAAGCCAGAGACTTCTTTTGTTTCTTAAACAGTCTCCAAATCAGGAACTGTTTACTGCAGCACATTTGAGTGGGATTGGTTGCACCGCAAGTGTGGGACAGCAGTGGAGCCGTGGCCACGTCCAGCTCTCCAGCCATGGACATGTCCTGTAAATATAAAGACCATGTACATAATATTATTTTTTATTTTCTTTTCTGGCCTTACAAATATAAAGTTGTCCAAAAAAGCAATCATAAGTTTAAAGTATGTTAAATTGTATTTTAGAAATAAACACTTCCTTGATACATTTTCATTTGTTCTGTTTTCATTTGTTTTCCATGACTTGAAACATGAGACACCATGTTACCCCAAAAGTCATATTTGCCATCAAGTTGACTGTCTACATGTTTGCATGCATCGAGGGCTTAGTGCTGCCTTAAAAAACAGTAAACCAGCAGATATCACGAGAGTCCCAAGGACGTCTTTAGGTTAAAGTCTGAAGTAAATCATCTCATAAACAGAATTATATGTGTCATTGTGAGTGATAGTTGATTAAAAGAATATGAGAATTATAAGGACTACAACTGTACAACTCTTTGTTAAAACGATGATCATGTATTTATTATCTATAGGCCTACAACACTATCTGTCATTCACCTGTCAGTGTTATTGTAAAGCTTAGGATTATTAAGCTCCATTATCTTCAATGTCTAGAGTCTATACAGAGGCTGATTGGTATTATATTAGCCGCATTAGCAGCCATATCACGTTTTTATCTGCATCACCTCTGATATCATAATTGAGCAGCAATGCGACTGAAGCAAAACCTGCGGTTTAACCCAACGAGATGAGACGTCAGACAAATTATCGAGATTTATTATACATGCACTAAATGTTCAGCTGTTTCTTTAATATACTTCTCCATAAATATAACCGCTACTAAACTCATAACGTCTTACACCAATGTACACACATGTAGTAGGTCTATATACGCCTACAACTCAATTCTACAAATGAAAAAGGAAATGTTTTTGAGCTATAATTTGATGCTTGTATCATTGTTTTATTACTTACACTGTATGAGAAGCGGGTTCATGAGGGAATGATGAGCGCGTTGGCTGTCATGGATAGATTTGTGTAAGTACATACAAATTCCAAGCTTTTGATTTCATCCAACTAACCTTTGATGGGACAATAAATGAACCAAACTGACTCTGAATATGAACTGTCAGAGCTGCGGTCTCCCTCCTCTGCTATGTCTGTCAGTGCTCCTTGGCCTTCAGGTCTGTTGTTGCATGATTTCAATATTGCTGGCTACTGAAAACACGTTTAAAATCCGATTTCACTTGACAGTGCAATTCATTCCTTGAAAAAATAGTATTTATATTTAATGGGCTCAAAATAGTGTCTCGAACAAGTGGTTATAATAGCAACAAGGCGCACACTGCTGCTGTAAGGCCATTAACCACGGCCCAGTTTATTACGCACTGCAGGCTATTTGGCAAAGTCATCAGGGTACAAAGTTTCCAGCCAGCTCAAATTTACAACAACAACAACAACAACAATAATAATAATAATAATAATAATTTAGGAATTAGTTGTTTGAAAATGTTCCTCCTAAATTTTTTATTAAAGTCTGAATTATCTTGTGCTAAACAGATTAGATTAGTTAAGCAAATTCTAATAAACTTTAAATAGTAAAATTCCGAAGCCCAAATATACCTTTAGAACATAATGCTGGAGGCGACAAGTAAGAATGAACGTTTTCAACCATTTTGGAGTCCTCCCACAGAGGAACAACACTTTGGTATATTTTTATACAAATGGGCTACGAGCCCCTTTACTCTTCTGTGTTCGTTTTCATTTTTTGAGTCCTTGACCAAAAGGGAAACCTGAAATTGTCCGCCAAGTCGGTCTATTTTATAACTCAAATTTAAGTTGGTCTATTTTATAACTCAAATTTAAGCTGTTCACATCGGAAATATTATCCTGGAGGATAAAAACACAAATTTTATATGGATCACATTGTAAATAGAATATCAGTTGGACCCACAAAATTCGCGCTTGCACACATACAGTGACGCACGCACGCTCACAGCTGGCAAAGAGTCTACAGACTCATAACCAACCTCATCGGCCTATGTGGACTGTGTCCTCAAGCTTTATCTAGCTGGCGGGGGAGAGGCTGCATTGACAGTAAATTTTACATTCCAAGCCTTGGGAGAAGGCAGAGATAACTGGTAAGATTCGGGTCAGGCTAAGCATCATAAGACACGACTGGTTAGGCGTAAGGTTAAGGTTAGGTTGAGGTAAAGGGGAGCAAATAGCCACGGGGAGCCAGACTCCACTTTCACCTAAATCTGCTCCCAGGCGTTGGAATCTAACGCAAACCGTGCCCTGACCGGAGGACACAGAGCTCTACTACTCACTGCCGCTCTCGCTTAAAATAGTCTCCTTGTGACCCTCCGTGGACAGGGACAAAATTCACTTGTTGAGTTCAGCTACACTGCCCCTATTGCCACGACCTGGGGAATCCTTTTTAAAACTACAATCATCTGGATTTATTTGTTTGTGCAGGTTATATCTTTTTATGTGCTCAACAGTAGAAAGTGCTATACCTCCTTGCTATTATAAACAACTCAGTGGCAACACAAAGTTATAACTGCATAAACTAAAGTGTAATGGGATAAAGATCTGATAGCTAAAGAAACCCTCAGCCGCAGAGATTAAGGGTGTGCCCACTATATAATTGTGAAGTAAAGATGCAACCTAACTCCGTTATTTAGATTATATTTGTTTAATAAGCCAGATTTTATTATTCCAAAGGCAAACATGATCCTAGGCCAACAAAAGAACACCATGACAAATTATTTAGTTTTTTAAATAGTCTTTTACTTCGGTATTCATTATCTATATTATTTCACACTGCATTTTAATTTCCAGTAGGTTCTATATCTCAATAACAGTAGCCTACAGATGTATGTACATGTGCCTCAAGTAACATAACGTTATTATGACACTTCATCTCAAATTTGAGATCAGATTAGATCAAGATCATTTAAGATCAGACCTAAAATGAGGTGTAAAGAAACCACTTAAGTCACTTGTGCAAAGCTCCTCCTACGGCCTTCACTATCTTATTAATTTCAATAGGTCTCGGTCTCAGTAACTGAAGTGAATGAAGTAAAACCTGCTTTGCGCTCGAAGCACAGTCTTTTGTTTAAAACGCAAACATTTCAAGGGAAAGCAACGTACACATTGACACTAAGCTGCTTACTGTCTCTCAGCAGTGAGCTACCACGACCATATATGGGCTAGGGGCGTGCAAAGCTAATTACTAATATCACGTGGAAGGATACCTTTACGTTCTCTTCGTAAATCATTATTACGCAGAGACACTTTTGCTATGGCAACACGCACCTTTTGATTAAGAACGGTTGGTAAACGTGATGTAACACAAGCCATGTAGTACTGTTTAATTTGTAAATTTCTCTGACATTATGGCACACAGTTTTGCATAATTGAGAGGAGACAATGTGCGTATGACATTTGTTTGGTATTCTCATGGGTTTATTTTTAGTGTTTTCCGAAATCTGTCCTCTAAATACCACGTCAACCATTCATGTATCACATGCTAATACAGCACATGCTTATCCTCTACTCCTAAATTACCATCGCCATTCAATTAAGTCGTAGCCTACACGTGTACTAAACCGTGAAGCGTAAATTTGCTACAGGACGAAAAGGCAACACCATCATACGGAAGCCGCGCTGGTGTTTACTGATCACGTTTATGTCGAAGCTGTTCAGTGATATGGCTAACGTTAGCTAATGAGATGAATAGGTTATATTAGACGTCAAATTCAAGAAACTCCTGCAGGATACAAGTGAGGACAGAGTAAGGAGGGGATTGTTTTGTTTTTGCCTATGGCCACACGTTTGCCATCTTAAATGGAATTAGAACGACTCCTTTTGTTAGCTTAGCTTATTTGCTTTGCTGATGTGGTGTGTATAACGTAGGCTAAATGACAGGAGAGTATAACGTTAGTTAGTCTCTCGAGCTCAGTTAACTAACTCCGCAGTACGTGTAGTTTTTTTTTACAGCATAGCACGACACTGCTTAATTTAAAACACGTACCGTATTTACATTGCTAAGTACTTGGAAATGGGTAGTATAGCTTTTGCTGGCGTTTCCACTTTAGCAAGTCACACAAATTTAGATGAGTGAGCAAGTTAATGCAGACCCCAACTAACTTACAATTAACTAACCAGCTGAATTTGTCAAACGAAGTTAGGTAAAACTTGAACTGCATCCAACAGGAATAGGATTTTTTATTAACGTCTTTAACGGCTAGCTAAAAACCTGCCAAATGTAGTTACACTTCCAGCTTCCTTCGGTGGTTTTTAAATGCAGTGGTGTATATTTGAGATATAATGACAAAACAAAGTGTAATACTGGAAAGTACAGATAAACACAATGTTAAATTACATCACTGTTTTGTTTGATTTTTTTTTTTTCAACACAGGGACAACATGTTGGAGTCCTATGTCACACCACTCCTCATGAGCTATGTAAACAAGTATATCAAGAATCTGAAGCCATCTGACCTGCAGCTGTCTCTCTGGGGAGGAGATGTAGTGCTCAGCAAGCTGGACCTGAAGCTGGATGTGCTGGAACAGGTACCGTATGTTGAATGTTTGTTTACAAGCCCAAGACAAAACATACTAGGGTGAAAGATATATTTATACCTTCAATGGACTATAATAGTCAGTGTGGTTATACTGTTTGTAGGAAGACCATGTGGTTTGGATGGATGACACTTATGAGCCTGTGCTCAGTGCAGCCAGTGGAAGAAATATTAACTAAAGTGATTTCATAACCATGCCCACTTAATGTTCTCAGACAGAAGAAGCAGCTAACCATGTAAACATGACACTGTTAACATTGCTAATGTCTATACAATGCTATCAGATTTTAAGCTGTTTCACTCCCATAAAACACAAAATGCATATACAATAAAGTAAAAGCTTTTGAAAGTAATTTAGGAGTAGAGGACAAGCATGTGCTGCATTTTCATATTTTTGGTTCAGTCATATCTACATCTTAGCTGCAGTGTATACAGTGTAGTCAAGATATATTGCCCTTACTTGAATCAGAAAAAACTGTATTATTTTGACAATTGTGCTCTTTTTTTTACACTTGTAATGTCTGGATTAGATCAGTTAGCCATAAGTTCAGTTTTTTTCCTCTGAGTGTGTTCTGATTGCTTCGGAAGAACAGATCAAAACACTGCCTAACCCCTCTGAGATGATGTGATGAAAGTTCTTCTTGGAAGTATCTTGAAGTAAACAGACAGTGGGAATTGTGTTAGGATTTTGATGTGTAATGCTATGTCAAATCCTTGGCAATTATTCTCCCATTGCCTTTATTTTACTGCATTTCATTTAGACAGTACCTCTTTTAAAATGTGCAATTGGAAATCATCTTTGTAATACAAAGAGTAATTTTGACTGAAACATTTTGTTACTGAGAAGATGTACTGTAAATTCATGCTAGCTTTTCCTCAGAAATGTGTTTGGTTTTAAGTCTGTTGGCTTAGACTTAAATAGGAGGCATGTGAAGCCTGCGTGTAGGCAGTCAGGTTTCATGGGACTCATTCTCACGCATAGTAGTTCAAGATGCACAACAGTGATTCGTCTGCCTCTGGGAAAATCTGACATTCTTTAAAAGCATGACCAATATGTAATCAGTAGCTGTTGTTTTTATTGTCCTCTCCTCTTCAAATATTGATTTCAAAGGGCTCTTGGAATGATCGGTGAGGGATCTAAATGTTCTTGAAGCCTAAGTAGCTATATCAAGCCCTCATAATGTCTGCATTGCAAATGTAATACTATAGTACAAAATATTTAATAGTTGTATAGCTATGTGATTCCATCTTTCATGTCTTTGCATATTCATAGGAGTTAAAGCTGCCCTTTACATTCATGAGTGGCCATATCCATGAGCTGCGTATCCACGTACCCTGGACCAAGCTGGGCTCAGAGCCTGTAGTCATCACCATCAACACTATGGAGTGCATCCTCAAGTTGAGAGATGGAGCCCAGGTTAGTTCTTTATGTGAAAATATCAATGTCTTTGGGCTGGCAACTTGGATTCAAAAATTGCCATTTGCAGTGAGCTGGCATGATGATGGCCAATTACCCCCCACAAACATCAAGAGAATATGATACTGAGTTTTTTTGGACTGTTTTACTGAAGCTACACTTGCCACACAGTATTTCCATTTGCCTATAGTGTTATGGCACTTCATAGGCTGGACTTAAAATGTGTTAATTTGATACAGCTTAATAGTGGTTGCTTTTGTCTTTCTAATTACTTTGATGAGAAATATATTGGAAAAGAGGAATGCAAACAAACTAGAAACAAATTAATCACTGCCTCATTCAGGCA